CAAACAAACGAAACGAAGTCCTGCAGCATGTAAAAGATGTTAGGCCTGGACTTGTTTGCATAGCACCACCATGTGAAATGTACTCGCAGTTGCAAAACCTCTCCAAAAACAAACGAGAACGAGTTCCTGCTCTTCTTCAAAAGTATCTAAAAAGAAAGTCGGAAGGGGAGCAACTTTTGCTGTTTGCACTGCAGTTGTGCGAATTATGCAATGACATGGGCATCAAGTTCCTCTTGGAACATCCCCACGCTGCATCCTCATGGAAACACCGTGCCATGGAGCAGCTTCTTTCCAAACCGAACGTAGTGTACACGAAGGCAGACCAATGCCAATATGGACTCCGTGGAGAATCTGGCCAACCCCAAAGAAAACGGACTGGTTTTGCCACCAACAGCCCGGAGATCGCCAAGGCTCTAGACGCCTTATGCCCTGGCAACCATCAACACGAAGTCATCATCGGTGGCACCAAGTCCAAGAAAGCACAAATCTATCCGGAAGGTCTTCGGGAAGCCATCCCGGCTGCCTACGCAAGATCGATTGGAGCTGAGGTCTATACCATCACCTCCGAACAAATGTTCCTGGAGAATGATCGCCTGAATTCATTGTTGGCAGTAGAACTGATGGTCGATTCTGAACTCCATCCAGGACATTCACCGGATAGAGACCAGGGAACTACGCTATGTGCTCAACAAGTCCCTGGACATGAACTTCATTTAAGCGAAGTCGATCCGGAACGACCAGACCAAGTCGAAAGTGTTCTACCTGGCCCAACCTGGGAACTACATGCTGAAGAACTTCAAGGTGACGGTGACCAAGGAGAACATGAACCGGAAAGCGATGAACGAACAAATGCTCCACTCCCTCTTGAACGTCGCTTCACCATGGACCGACTTCTACATCGAGCACATGTTGGAATGGGGCATCCAAGCCCAGATCGATTCGTCCGCATACCTAGGTACGCCAAGGCAAAACCGGAAGTCATTGAAGCAGCAAAACGACTGAAATGCAGTGTCTGTCAACGACATGCTCAAGTTCGACCCGCACGACGAAGTGCTCCACCCAAGGAGCTCAGCTTCAACGAGTGTGTTGGAGTGGATGTTGTTTTCTTGCCAACCTTAGGCAATCGCTCCAGACCAGCACTTAACGTGATCGACTGGTCAAGCAAATTTCAACTCATGATCCCCTTGCCCAACAAGAAACCAGGACAAGTTCGAGAAGCCGAAAGGCACTGGTTGAGACTGTTTGGGCCTCCAAAAAGAATGGCACTAGACTTGGGGCGTGAGTTTCGTGGCACCTTCGCCGAACAGGTTGAGCAGGATGGAACCTACATCGACCCAGCTGCTGTGGAAGCACCTCATCAAAGAGGCATCACTGAAAGACATGGAAAGACTTTCAAATACATCCTCCAGAAAACCATGGACACCTATACAGCTGCGGTAACATGCAAGAATGGGAAGAAATGGTAGACCTCACCACCATGACCAAAAACCGAATGATGAACGTGGGAGGGTTCAGCCCGTGTCAAGTGTCTTGGGATTCAACCCCTTCCTACCAGGAGGACTATTAAATGGAGATGACGGGCATCGACATCGAGAAGACGCTCCAGTGCCGAAGATCGGCGACCTCAGCATTGAAAGATCCATGAAGCTTTGGAAGGCTGCAGCTCAAGCTTTCATCGAAGCCGACGCTGACAACGCCTTGCGGAGAGCTCATCAGGACCAAGACCGATCCTGGACTACGACATCGGTGAGATTGTCTACTTCTATCGAATGGGAGCGGATAAAAAGCTCAAGTTCAAACCAGGCTACTGGCAGGGACCAGCTCGCATCATCATGATCGACCAGCCCAGCGCTATCTGGCTAGCGTACCAGTCAAACCTGGCTTAAGGCGAGTCCGGAGCGCCTTCGGAAGGCGTCATCCGAAGAGAACATGGCTCTCTCGGGGTGGCTTGACGACATTGTCAATGTCAAAAAGGATCTCCGCACTGAACCGGTTCGAGGCTTCCTAGATCTATCCGATCAACCTCTACCTCCTGACCTAGCAGATGGGGATCTAGACGATATGGACTACGAGCCATCCGAACCTCCCGAAGATGAACCGATTGCACCTCCAATGGCTCCAATCTTAGACGGGCTTCAAGAACCTCTGGGATACCCACCTCCAGCAAAAAGGTACCGAACAAAGGCACCACGAGAAAACCTTCACCAACCACCGGCAGCAGAAGATCTACGAGAACCAGGTCAAGACGACCGACCTGCCGAAGAGGTAACAGGAGAACGACCAGAAGAACACCCCAACGTGGACGAGAACAACAAAAGAGAATTTGATGAAGGAGAAGCCCAAGAACAACCGCCCCTAAAAAGATTGAGACATGAATACCTGGAGATCTACCTGAACAAGGTTGACAACCTGATGAAAACAAGACAGAGAAAGGAAGTACGCTTTCAGGAACTCAGCTTCAAGAACCAAAAATGCTTCAAGGCGGCAATCAGCAAGGGATTCAACAACAACATCAACATTGGCGCCTACTCCATTGTCTCCCCAGAAGAGTCAGCAAAGGTTCGGCAAACCATGCCACACCGAATCATGGAAAGTCGATTGGTACTGACTCCAAAACCATTGGAACCTCACGAAGTAGAACCAGCCAAACAGGAAGGAATCCTCCTTGACTGGGATTCCGAAGAACCTTGCAAGGCCAAAGCCCGACATGTGATGAAAGGGTTCAGCGAAGAAGGCTCCGAGGACATTGAGGCAACAACACCTCAGGTTACCAGAGAAGGAACCCTCATGGTCGCCCAACTAGTGGCCAGTCATCGCTGGAAACTCGGCTTCTTGGACTTCACCCAAGCTTTCCATAGTGGAGATGCGATTGAACGACTGCTTTATGCAACTCCACCTCGTGAAGGCATCCCTGGAGTCGCACCGTGCCAACTTCTTAAGCTTGAAAAGGTTTGCTACGGCCTCACTGATGGCCCACTGGCATGGTACAACCACCTCAAGAAGTTCCTGACCAGTCAACTACAATATCAGCAGTCACTGGCAGATCCGTGCATCTACTACAAACATCGGACAAGTCCACTCACTGGTAAGCCGGTTCTCAGCGGCGTCGTTGCGGTCGCTACGGATGACCTTCTACATGGAGGTGACGAAGAACACCAAAAGGCTATGGACCAGATCAAGGCAAAGTACAATCTTGGAAAATTCCAATATGGATCTGGAAAATTCACCGGAAAAATGTTCGTCCAGCAAGAGGACTCGAGCATCACCGTGAACCAGGAGAACTACATCCAGGAGAAGCTCTTCGAGATCAACCTGGAAAAACAACGGAAGAAAAAGAGATACACCTTTTGCGACGACAAGGAGATCACGCAGCTCCGCGCCAGTGTTGGAGCCCTAGCCTGGCTCGCCAAGGAAAGCAGGCCAGACCTGGCCGGAAGAGTGGCTCTGCTTCAGCAGGTCTTTCCAAAGCCTCGCATCAAAGACATCATCGAGGCCAACTCCATCACCCAGGAGGCTGGAAAACATCCTTCGAGCGGCATCAAGATCATGCCGATTCAGCCCGAGAACCTGCGAATCGGAGTTGCGACTGACGCTTCATGGTCCAACGCCAAAAGCCAAGACCAATTGGAAGCTAGTTCACAGGACTACTGGGAAGAGAAACCATCACACTGGATTCGACATCATGTTACTCCCAGGAGAGTCCTATTCCACCCAGGAGCCGATCCAGGACCAGATCTTCATGACCTACAACCAGGTCGTAGAACGATGACAACGAATGAAGAAGTTCTAGAAGATGAATGGACACAAGGAAATAGTGTCCGAACTTGGTCGGACTCGCCTTGGACTGGAAAAACCATCTTCACCAAACAGCTTCCAGGACATGAGTTGGAGCATGGAAAGATCAACGACACCTTCCTCAAGCTCCTCAACTGTAGCAGCCAGGGAGGCTATGTGATGATCTTTTATGACAAGAGAATGGAAACCGAAGACCGACCTCACATGGTTTCCGTGACCTCATGGAAGTCAACAAAACTCAAACGAAAGACAATCAACACCCTGAGCGCAGAATGCCAATTGCTAGTCCATGGCATTGGCCATATCCACTGGCACCGCTACCTCCTGCTCGAACTGATGGGCACGACCACGGAATCCAAGGATTGGGAGCGGCATTTGGCAGCCATCCCCTATGTCTCAGTAGTTGACTCTCGGTCGCTATACGACTGCATCAACAAGCTGGTGTGCACCTACTCTCAAGTAGAGGACAAGAGAACGGCTATAGATATAGCCATACTAAAGGATGATCTCTATAGATCAGGGGGTTCTTTACGTTAGGTTGCTGGTGATAACATGATCGCGGACCCCCTTACGAAGAAGATGAACTCGGATTTCCTTAGGTGTGTTTGCAATACCGGTTACTGGTCACTCTCCGAAACAGGCCATAGAACCCAATGCACCACGCATGACGTTCTCTTGGTCTCGCTTGGCCGTTAGAGTAGGGCCGGTGTGAAAATGCACTGGACGCCCACGCTCGACTCAAGGCAAGCACTTAGGAGCCAGAGACTCGATGGGGGCTTTGTGTCCACCGGAAAAAGAGTCTTGTTCTTGCTTGTTGGGTCTGTTGCGGTTCCCCCGATTTCATAGAATCAAATGTTCAGGGCCTCAAAGGACGCCGTGTGCGATTGGATTACACTGCAAATAGCAAACAAACCACTGTCAATGAAAGGGCTTTTTGGGGGGTCCTCGAGTTGTGCATGCATTTTTTGTTGCAACTGGCTACAAAACTACAGTTTCGCAGCGAATTCAAGTCGAATCCAGTCAGTTATTAAGTTGTGAAGCAGTAGTACACAGCAACTGTGCTGGCATGGTGCCTGCGCCTTGTGCAAGCAATCAAAAGAATGTCTGGCTTTCGTAAAACCTGTGCAACTCAAAATATATTTTGTGAACGAAGACTATGACCGTGAACTGCAAACTGAACAACTTGTCTTGATTCGCCGAGAATCGAGTTGAGGCTGTCAAAGAGGTGCTCTACGTCAGGGTCCGAAAGGTACTTTGCACAATGACCTGCAGTGGGCAATAACGGTTTGCAAAGAGCCAGTACAATATATAGGTCGGCCGGTTTCCCAACATCACAGCTTCTCGGTTTAGTCATTTAGTATTTGGCAGGAGATCAGTTTGTGGGTATCAAGTTGTCAATCCTGTCACACACACACACCATATCCGCTAGCCGCTAGCCTTGATCACCTTAGCAAGTTTGAAACCAGCTCACTGTGTTTTGCACAGTACTTGGGTCAAAAGTTCGGCCAAGGCGGTGATGCAGTCAGGCATTATACATCCTCTTGCAACTAAGCAACAAATCATCTCTTTCACGCCATCCTGGTGAGTCGCAACAACATCACTTCACCATACACCCCATCCAAACACTTTCTCCCACACAAACTCTTCTCCAACCCCAACCGTCCTAACCTGTGCATGAGGACCATCAAAATGACTTCCACAAAACCCTACGTAAGATCAACGGGAATCCAACTTCACTAAAAGTAATCAACCAGCCAACGCGGGCAAACCACTGCTGCAAATGCACTATAGAAGGTGTCTTTCCCGACCAAGGATTGCCTTGCTACCGCTCCCACTAGGACAATTTATGTATCCTTTATATAGTGCTCGTATGGCCAGGGCCGGCGCTGTAATAGGAAAATGTTTGTATCCACATGATGTCCTTGGTGGCAGCGAAGCCATACCGTGGCAAAAATTTCTTCTGCACACGAAAGGCCAGGTCTGCCCTGCCTGCGGCAGCGAGCTGACGTGGTTCATGGGAACACTGCCCAATCGTTTCACTTCACTGTGCAGCACTGCGTTCCCAACGGTTTTGACTCATGTGTAATTATAATTACATGTACTTGATGTGATCTTGATGTGTGTATGTGTGTTTATATATATAATGCCTATGCTACCCCCAAAAGACCAATGAAGTCTTGTTGGATTGAATCTATCGAATTTGCTGCTGCAGTATTGCCGATTGGCAAAGTACCGACTCGGGACAAAACAACTTCAGAAGTCAAACCCTGATGTGCGACTATGGAATGCTATGGATCTCATTCATAAAACTGTACCCCAAACAAATTCACCTCCTGGTCCAAAACCTACGTCAGTAATTGCAAAAGTGGGACCTTCTTTCGAAGTACAAGAGAAACTTACACGATGAGGCATGAGGGCGTTGATACCCTTCCTGCCAGCCTGGCAAGTGAAAATAGCCTTCCGGATCCGGAAGTGCTTCTCCATCCTGAATACTCCAGCGTCCTTATCTCAGGAGCCCCAGCAAACCAACAAACCAAATGCTTCAATATGGCATATGGTTTCTGGGCAGGCCCGTCCTACACATGACATGCGAAAGGGATTGCTCAAATCAAGGCGGCTACAAGTCTAGGGTTCATTGCTCATAACATTGTGTTCAATCAATCTCATTTGCAGTGTGTTCAGCTAGCTTTGATAGGTAGTCTCGTCAGCCAAACCAGAATTGTTGTCAGATCGTGCGCAAGACTTTGGATGTGCAGTGCAAGCTTTCAGGCTAATTTGAATATAAACGTGTTGAAGTGTGTTTTCGCTCCAGACTAAACTGCTGAATATTCATAAAGGCCTTCATATCCTTCATCAATTCGGCTGAAGGCCTCATTGCTTAGACTTAGTTTGTCCCGCAAGGCCTCAAGAAATGAATGTCAAGAGAAGCCTCTCAAACACTTTGTCGCACCGGCTGTCCTGAAGAGCGATCTGCAGCCTTCTTAAGGTCCTCCAACTTGTGTTGGAAGAAAGCCTTAGAATGAATCAAGGAATTTCTCAGTATGATGTTCCAAGTCTTCACCAAGTGCCTAATGTTTGACGAATTGTCGAAATAAGCATTCCAAACAGTGATTGTGTTAGTTGAACCCATTGAACATCGCAGCAAAAGATCACACAAACAGACAAAGGACCTATGTTATGTTGAAAACTTACATATAAAACGGGAAACCCGGGATAACATAAACACACAATCTTAGACGTCAAGAACAAAGAGATGCGGCCTTGCTGAACTCTGCCAGGTGCAATCGCAAAAGCTCAAGCACTCGCTCCTGCCAGTTTCAGGATTAGTGTCCTTCACTAGAGAAGATGGAAAGACGAACATGGTGGGATCAACAAACAACTGATCAGCACCAACATGTCACGACCAAAGTTCAAGCAAACATAAGGTTGATTAAGTTGATTCAATGAAGGCTTTAACCGGGCCTTTGCAATTTGCTTTATATGTGTTTTGCTAGCGCAACGAAAAACAAAAAAAAGCGAACCCCAATTGTTGAGGCTTCATGATCTAAACCCTCCATCGGCCTTGCTAATGGGCTTAGCCGGGACCACATCACTGGTCTGAGGAGACCTGAGGACCTCCAAAGACAAGGCCTCTTTGATGGCCACCTGCAGCACGTGTGGAACTCTTTGGTGGTTCTGTTTCTGACAATGCCAATAGAAATGTTGCATAAATGATATGCATGAACATAGCATATCCTAGCATTTCTAATATATATATATATACACACACACCATACACCGTAGTTCCACATATTATGGTTGAACATTCATGATTAATGAGGATGCAATCACTTAAAGCCTGTATGTATGTTTATCTGATGGTGCTGGCTGTCTTGCTCTCGGCTGTGGAAACAAGAGCGACCTGCAGCCCAACCTGCTTTTCTATTGATGTTCAATCTGAAATTAGCAACCTCTTTTAGCTATGCAATATTCCACAATGTCTCACACATATTTTGCAATATACTGAGTTGCAGCGGCAACATTCCGGCCCCCAGTGCCTCATTGATGTAGATGTCTGGATCACCCTCCATCTCTTTGAAGGTCCTCAAGCTTTCAGATCGAATTTACACCTAGACTTTAGGCTGGAATCTGGATCGTAGCGTCCTTGCTCCTAGTAGCGTCCTTGTTACTACTGTAGTAGTAATGGCCTCCAACCTAATAGCGATGGCCTCTACCTAGTAACATCCTAGACTGGAATCTGGATCGCATTGGCTTATGCCAACTGTGCTCAGTCAAACTGCAAATAGAGCAGAGTTGTGCCTCAGCATCTCTTCTACACCTTCCTCTGATCCATCATAGCCATACCTGGGGATTATCTCCACCTGCCAATGGCAAGGCCAGAGAAGGTTGTGTCAAGCCATGTGCATCATGAATGTTGATCTACACTCATGGATTCAGGATCCAATTCAAACAGGTAATCTTTTCGCAAATCTCGTCAAACATCTTTGGCATCCGTGAAACGTGGCGGTCTCGCATCTGTTGGCAAGATCTCCACGCTTCGCACCCGGTAAGGTCAACAAAAACGAAGCACTGCAGCGTGAGTGACACTCGGTGTACAGTACCATGTACCGGAATCCAACTCATGTACCCGAGCCTTTGCTTCAAAACACATCAAAACACTAGAAACTCAGAGCTAGAAACTCGGGTTCCAGTGTTCAATGGGATGCTACCTGGGCACCTCAAAGGGCAATGAGTCTGTTTGAGACTTTGGGACGTGCGCCATGGCCTGACGGCTCCTCACCAGTTTGCAAAATCCAGAGGCAAACTCTCTGCTGACTCCCTTGGGATCGTTGTGGATCCTGGTGCGACAATGGCGCCACCCGGCAAGTCTGGAGTAGCACACGGGTCAACATGTTCATCAAAAAGAGAAAACGGCTTTACTGCAAGCCGGGGTTCAAGTGAGAATGCCTCCCTGGACAAAAGCTCGATGATCATACTATCTCTCTTGTCTGAATGTGGTGAGATACCCCCAAATTAAAAAGACGACTATAACAAAAGAATAGTGATATTTTTACAGGGCTACTGTAGTAGAACCACGACCTCCGGTGTCGCGTGTCACGTCCTGGCCAGCTCGTGCAAGGCCTTTTGGAAGTCTGGTGCCCCAAAGGCAACGAGGAGCTCTTTCTGCAGAGCAAGGGCTCGACGCTTGGAGACCTGTGCTCCGTGGCTTTGGGGCCGGTCTATCGACAAAAGGTCAAGGTGAGAATCGAAGCTTTTTCTTGGCCGACCTCCTACTTAATTAAGTAGGCGCCTACTTAATTAAGTATACAAGGGAGAAGTTCGATACTAGCTACTTAAGCTACTACCTACTGAACGCAGGATAGCGCTCGCACTAATCATTTGTTGATTTCCAGCATCCGGAAATGCGTTCATCCTGCTGTACGATTGTGCACAAATGAGCTCGATGGTAGTTGCCGCATTGCTCAATGTGCAGGAACTGAAAGCCACTGCCAGTAACAATTGCCACCACTTTGAGGCGTTCCAAATCAAAAGTTTCGTCTGTGAACTGAGGAACTACACAAACAACAGCAAGCAAGAAAAGCTGCAGGCAAAATTCCAAGTTGTCATCCCCAAATTGCACTTGTCCTTTGCCACAAGTGTGCTTGGCACGCAATGGAAGGAAGGTCGGTCATGGAAGGTTTTACTAATGATAATGGACTCCTCTTGCTCTTCTCCCTGGCAACGTGCCTGGCCTTAACTTTAGCTTTAGAGGCAGAAGGGGGCTGCACAACGGGCGCCTGGTGGATGCGCCGATGCCCTTCACTTGTTCACATCGTGACGTAGCTAAAGCAGTAGGGGAGGAAGGTACATATCTCCCAAAGAAATGCCTCTCACACCTATCAACTTTCTACAGCTGTGGATGGCAAGCACAACAGGATCCAAAGATCTTGAACAATCTAGCCACGAAACACCAAAAGCAATGTTTCATCTTGGCAATGGCCCAAATACCCCCAATCTCCAATCTGGCAATCTTTCAACATGTTTGCAAATCGCTCGACACTCGCCACCAGTCAGCCAACCTCACCACTGTCCTTGATATCCTGCCAAACAAAACAAAATCAGGCAGCGAGCTTGACAAAACAAACAAAAGAAAACGTCACTTCGACAGTGGGGGAAAGTTGTACACCCGGGAAAGCTGCCATCCCTCATAGCCTGAGAGGTTTCAACTTGAGCAACATGTCCTTTCACATTCCCCAAAGGAACCGAGAAGTAATTTCTCATGATCAGTTTAACGGTACTAGTACCAGGACCAGTATGCTGACTCCTCGCTAAACAATGTAACAACTGAGACCAAACTAACTACTGTAAGTATATAATTAACAATTGTATTTTAATATGTATGATGTATGTATCCACTTTTGCAAGCAGGGCATATCAGACTCGCCTCTGCCTCCTCATCGCTGGAGGAGACAATGTTAAAGCTCGAAGCCTGATGGATGCGGTGGAGCTCTATAACTCAACCATTTCCTCTTCTGAAAAGGGCAATGCGCACAGTGGAGGATCGCCAAAACAAGGGTCGTGGACAACGTCATCCGCGCCTCTCGCGGCTCTTTGACCTGGTATGGTTTAGTGACACCATCTGCTCCAACGACATGCAAAGAGTGGCTTGAGATGAAAACACTCGGCTTGTTTCCTTAGTTTACTTGTTTGCCGAAGTTGCTGTTGCAGGTTGCAGTAATGGACGCACGAACAAAACAGTGAACTGGATGTTGGAACATCTTTCCCATTAAGCTCACTGTGTCCATGCATGTCCATGCCACTTATTTTTGTCTTGGCATTTTCAGCCCAGGACAGAACCTCTTTCACTTCTGATCAAACATGAAATACCGGAACCACAGTGTCCACAAAGTGGGCATCGTTTAGTCCAAAATATGCACAAGAACAATCCAAAAACGACTAATTACCTTTCAAACATGAAAAAGCAAGAGTCACGAGACCGCGAGAAGGTCAAGATCTGCTTAGAGAAAAGCAGTCCATCTGAGGCCTTGAGGTGCAACAGCCTATTCACGCCTCGGAGCTTTGGCAATTCTGTGTGAACTGATTTTCGAAAGATTGGAAATAATCTTGCCATGTCTTGCATGAGAAAGCATCGATATCACAAACAAACATCGATATTACAATATATTACAATTACATATATGTATATTAGTTGAGTTGTAGGGGGTTAATTAAGTTTCCCTAAAAATCTAGGAACCAAATGAACAGTGCGTTAGCTATCCTGCGTCCTAGGTAGCAGGTATTAAGCTAATTACTAGCTACCTAGCTTCTACTAGCTACCTGACTACCTCTTCTACCGGTCTACACCCACCCGGGCTTTAAAGAAAAAAGTGATGATCTTTGAAGACACTCTTCATCTCCCCACTCGGGGACTCCGAACCCCCACTGATCCTCAGACAAGAAGCCCATCTGTGTGGAAGACACTTTGGCCGCTGCCCTTCACGAAACAAAGAGGCAGGGCAAATGGGACGGCTCCGAGGCTGAGCCAAATCCTACAGGTGGAAGAGACAAATCCTGTGTGGATTGGCTGCCAGGACTGTGCCAGGGCCAGTTTGAGCTAGATTCTTTTTGTGACCGATGATCTTTCGAATCATGTCGGTGAATCAAGTCACAGTCACAGGTCGCATAAGGACAGCAACAAGCTATCACGCCAAACGCCAAATCCCTGAAGCACACCACACAGAAGAATCCAGCGGCCACGAGCTGGCCGGGAGAGGTACCCCAGCATCCGGCTAGCTTGGCAGGTTCGTTGGAACCACTGGGCAGTGGAAAGCGCTGGCAACAAGAGCAGCCAAGCCTGTCCAAAAGAATCGTAGGTCAGAAGGACCCGACAAATAAAGAACATGTACACTGAGGACCGTTGACTGACGGAATGACACAATGTGCTTATCGAGGAGCTGAGTTGAAAATGAAATGCACCATGGGCAGCAAGAATAACATAAGACTTGGTGATGTTGCGAAAAAAAAGAGAGCATCAATCAATGAAGAAGAAACACATCAACATTATTGGATTGGACGACATGCAGTCAGCACCAGCTTCTCCAGGTTGCTAGCTTGTTCCAACCATTCAGTGCCTTGAGGACTACAGCAGCAATCGCAGCAAGCCTCAATTATATGCACATTGAGGCTTCCACGATCTTGTTTGTTGTGCTCTTAAAGAAACAACATGGAGTACGAGTATATAGAGCCTTGCAAGGAAAAACTCAAGCATGGAGATGGAGATGCATGGATTAGGATGCCAAAGCTTCACGTCAATCATATGTCGCTCTCTGTGTTCTCCAGTGTTTTCTGGGTGTGCGAACGTCTCATCCCCAAAGAGCATCCTGAAAGGTCCACCTGTGAAGAAATGAATGCTCAACAGCCAACCCCACACACACCATCACACACCTCCAGAGCTGAAGCTGAATGCATGTATGCAGTATGCATATCAGTATCAATCATACCCACTCTGTCTAGAGGCTCTTTTGTCTTGCAAAGGATCCGTCTAAAGAGCCCGGAAAATGCTCCAAATGCACCAAGTGCCAGATAGTGCCAGCGCCTCCGCAGTCACCGATGCCACTTCCACTGTAGGCTACAACCTTGCAAAGCAGGGTTCCGTGGGATGTATAGTATATCCAGAGGGCCAGAGGGCCCCTCCTCGATATCCCTCGATCCTATGGTTGGAGGCCACTACAATTAGGTTGGAGGCCATTGCTATTAGGTTCGAGGCCGTCCCTATCAGGTTGGAGGCCATCGCTCTGAGGTTGGAGGCCAGGGCCATCGCTTCTAGGTTGGAGGCATCTATCCTATATGCCTTTCAACACGGAAAAGATCTCAACTAACCTTGCCGCCGAGACTACACCAAGCAACACCAAGCTGTGTTCGTCTTCATGCGACAATACCTATATAACACTAACAAGGTAGAGTCTCCATTTGCGTATCATTGTCCATTTCCGCTCGGATTGAACTGTGACATTTCCACTCCTTGCCACATGGTGCCGTGATCATGCCTCGTCTGCCGCATCCAGCGAGATACCCAGATCCTTGAGGGTTGCCTCAAATTTCAAGCTCGTCACATCACCATAGTAGGTCAAGAATTGGCATAGCAGTTAGTGGGACAGGCTATCAATGAGCTTTTTCTGACTGCTCTGACACCTGACATGGTCCAGTCCCAGTTTACCGGAGCTGGCCTGAAAATAGTCTGCCAATGAGTGGACAAACCCAAGGCCACGAAAGGCATCCTGCTTTGGAGGCAAAATGACTTGCACGGCCGGTGTGCGTTGCCAATCAAATAGATGAAGCTATCTACATGGGTAATCCTTCAGCGATTAAATCAAATTTGGGATATAACTCAGACTTTCTTCAACAATCTTTTCATATACTGTGCCAACTTGTGGCACACTTCTCCTGTCGGATACTGTCCCAACATCTGTGCCTGGCCCACGGCAATTCGTAAAGCGATGCCAGAAGCAAAGGATGCCGCGTAAGACCTCACTTGCCAGCCACACGCAAACGTAGGGAACGGCCTCGCGATTGTCTTATATTGTAATTCTGTCTGTGCTATCTTCCTGCTTTAAGGATATAAAAGGCAAAAAAAAACAAGTTAAGGAAGCTGCAGAATTGCAGCTCTCAGGTCCCAATGAACAAAGAACTGTAATTGATATTGACAACTAAAAAACACACACAAAAACAAACCAACAGGGCAAAGACCCATCAAGCAGATCAGGCCAGAAGTAATTACAAACATTGTCTTGTAAAAACACCATCCGTTTCATGCAACCTCGTCCCTCGCTTGCTAAGTGCAGGTACGGCTCATTCCCAAGAGCAGACATTGCGGTGACCTGGCACCACCATGAAAGAACACTCCGTTTCCAAGCTGGACAGAGTTACAATTGATTACTCCCACGCAAACAGCACAGCACAGCGCTGACTTGGTGATGTACACCCGAACCAAAATGTTGCATCTCAATCCTCTCGACATCTGGGCTCAAGGCTGCCTCGAGGAATCCAAACAAGAATCATCCGTCGTCTTTTGGGAAGCTGGCTCCACGTAGGCTCCGAAAGGAACTTCACACTTGTGTCATTCGTCCAGAAATTGGGTTTTGAGGGACACAATTTCACACGCAACCAAAAGACATTCCGCCTTTCTCCAACACAGCAGGTGACTGACCTCTCTATCTCACTCTCTCACTCACCATCTCTCACAATATCTTCAGGCGCACTGCTGCACCCAGCTGGCACATGTGCATCACGGAGAGCACATCCTGATAGATCTGAGTGTTTTTGAATTGGAGAAACACAAATTTGGCAATCGGCGCTGCCCTGACAAAATTAACGGTTTAAGCATCTAGTGGAGGATTGACCCTTTAGGGCCTTAGGCTCCCCCGAAAAGTCTAAGTAACTATATAGTAGCAAATAGCTACTAGTAGCAAAGGGAATCGCTATTAGGAGCAAGAAGCTACTAGTAGCTAAGGGCATGACTACTAGTAACTAGTACCGATGTAGTCAACCAACATGATTCGATGATACAACGCAATGAAGTCGCCGGCCCTTTCCTGGAATCTGGACATGAAGTGTGCATGTGAGTCATGTGTAGGCTATGTTTGATCATCAACCATGTCTTCTCTGTACTTTCTATGTAGGTTACATCAATCCTCAACAAGACTCAATGTCTTGTGACATCTTAATTCACTAGTCACTAGACGCTTGGGACGACCACCAAATCACTGATCTTGCAATTTTTTGCGCGATCATTGTCCTCGCCCGGTCCTTGAAGGACCAGGCCCAAGCCAAGTGCAACACCTTGCTGCCTTCTCGGTTCGCATAGTCCTGCACGATCAGGGACCCACTTCACAGTGTATGGGTCACACACTAATCTTGAGGGTGCAATGCTTCAGCCAGACCAGTAATTGCACCTTTGGAATTGCACCGGACCTCCAACTTGGATGCAGATACGCCCAGCAAGGTGTGCAAAGTGCCAAAAAGTGCGCAAAGAAGATGGTGTGCCTGGCAGAAGCGGTGCGAGGATGCTTATATAGGTCTGCACCGGAAATACGATCACCGTAAAGGCTACAGAACATTGACATGCAACATAGTACTAGTGTAGAGTGATTGAATGAGGTGCAAGGCTCAAGGATAGTGTGCCCTCCAGTGAATCTCAAGAATGCTGCAATTATTCAAGCCTAATTGAAGTTATTAACTTTTGCCCCGATCGAACAACTACCACACCATACCGCAAAGGTCTGGTCTGCATTCGCATGTGAGTCTTCATTTCACTGCTAGCCTCATAGCTCATCTGCGGGACCCACTTTCGAAGCGCATGGCCAATGAACAGCGAGGAGAACAGACCATTCCAAACCTAGTGACATTCATGGTCTCCATGACAAACAAACTTCTATGACACTGCGTGACATGGTACATAGGCACGACATCTCGCAAATCAGTATGTCCACGCATCCAGGCAGGCTTGCAGCCACATCTGTGGTTTCCAGCCACTCTGTTGTGGGAATGTTTCAGAAGCAAAAGTTGCCTATTCTGAAGGCTTTGTTCGATCATCCTTCATCCACAAACAAATCAAAACAGTAGCATGAGAGAGGCACTTTGCTCCAAAATGCATGCGTCCCAGTGCCTGTCCCAGTGCCACAAGCATGCACAAAGGAATCACCTCAAGATGGGTGCCCTTCATTCTTCGGGTGAGGGTGCGATGATAACATGGTTTCTGGACGTGCAGCATCTACTTGTCCCAAACCATGCATGCCTGTACCACTCTCGCCTGTGGTCAAACAAATTTGACAAGAACGCCTGCGGACTAAAGTGTTTCATTGGCTGGGATCCAGACTGGCTTTGTAAGGATCAAAAGAATGTCAAATTGCATGGCACTGGCTGCAGCCTGCGGACGGACACAAGCATCCTATCAATCCATGGGCTGCCCAAGTGAACGGAAAGAATCCAATTTGGGTGACAAATGGTGACAGCTCTCAGGCCGAATGGCTCATGGCCGAACGTTTTCACAGAATCTGTGAACGTCACGTCATGCTCACCTACTAATCATACTGTCTTTTACTGTAAGAGGATGACAGGTCAAACATGATCAAAGTACATTAGCGAGTGACCCGCCAGCCTGACGAGCTTTGACGGGCTCTTTGTTGCTCCAAGATACAACTTGCCAAAGGCCTCGAAATGCGAGCAACAAAAGAGGTGGCAAAAACGAAAGAGTGCACGAGAATTCCAAGGATCTTTGCATGGCAAAAGTAAGCCCAGCCTAAGCATGCATCAACAAAATCCCACATAGTGTACCCTCACTTGTCAAATACCGTCATTCTTGAAACGGCAAAAACACCTGTCCGGGGGGCTTCCTTTTGTATCCAAGAATAGACCCAATCTTCCGCCATCTTCCACCCTTTTGGAGCCTTCAGGTACTGGAACTGGCTTCTGCACGGCTGCATCCTCCGTGTTGGTCTGCGCCTGACCCAGCAGCTGGCAGCCCCACACGTCTGTTGACATCGTGCTCAACCA